ATATGAAACCAACCAACAGGTTAAAAAGACCAGAAATTACCAGAAAAACCCTGCAAGCAAATTTAAAACCAACCAACAGATTAAAAAGACGCTTTTAGAACCGAAAAAAATTGACCAAAATTGACGTTTTTTGGCGCTCAAGAATAACTTATATTGGCGCCGAAGTGCCTTTTAAACAATTTTAGGGTCAGTCAGCCAAAAAATAGTATATCTCGTAATAATATAGATATGTCGAAATAGCACAAAGGGTGACTCTTTGGGTCGGCAGAGGGTCGAATCACTGAGTGTCTGCCACCCCTGCCCCCTTAAATCCGCTACTGTGTACATAAATACACATAATGTCAAGGAGTTTCTCGAGGGGGCTGATTTTCGAAAAAGTTTTCCCTTTTTTTTAGGTCAACCAAATTAATTTTCTGGTGCTCCCAGAATGCTAAAGTTACACCATAAATATAAACTATTTTCTCTGCGGCCCGCAATAATTTTTTCTGAAAGTGGAAAAAATATATAGAAAAAACTGCAAAAACAGAAAACCAATGAAAACTGAGCATTTCAATGTTTTTTTGTCAAAAACAATTAATTACTTGCTCTCAAATGTCAATAAGTCGTCATTCTTGTCAATATACGAGTACGCTTCATAAAAAAAAGAAACTCTAAAATTGTCAATTTACAAAATAAAATTCAATTTTGTGTAATATTCCACTTGAAAACTTTCCATATGTTTTACAAACTCCGCCCTTGAATAAACAAAATATACGAAGTGTCAGTCTTTTTACGGTTATGCTTCTGACAGGTTCTAAATTTGATTTTTCATGTTTTTGGCTCAAAGTCTTCAATTTTAATCCAATTATGTTTGCTTTCTCCTTTGCGCTGTGTGACCTAGTAGCAAAAACATTAATCAATTAACAGATTTGAATTGACCGAAACACGATACAATCAGATATTAGTGCGTTGTTGTTAAAGAAAACAACATATCGGTCGTTATAAAGTTATAACATACCTGCTGTAAGCCCCCACCCCTCTCTCTAATCTTCCAAAAAAAAATATTTTTTTTTCATTGTTTTTGTCTATGCAGTCAAGAAAAAATTATTTTTGGAAACCATTCTCATTTTTTCGAACTTTTGAGATTAAAACTAAATAAATAGTTCTTTTCCTTCTTCTTTTTATAATTTCGATAACTATAATGTAATTACTTTGTACTTTCGGCTGATTTATATGGTAGCCCGTTTATATACCAATACCACCCAAATTATTTTTCTTCGGGGCAATTTTTTGATTACTCGCTTCACTTACAAGTTAGAGTGCTCCCAAATCTAATTCTTTTGAAGTCCATTTGATCTAGCCTCGAGTTTGTTTAAAATTATCCCATAAAACTCGAAATTTGGTCTCCAAATATCTGTTGTTTACTCTATTTCTTCTGGTTATAAATGAGACTCTGACTAAAATTGCAGAATAGTTGCAGAATTCATCAGATATTTTATTTGGTGAAGTTCTTTGATCAATCAATGTCAATAAAATTGCAATTTTATTGGAAAAAGTGAAATTCGAATTGTTTTGACCCGTTTTTCAGACGTTAAATCCTAATTCGCCTCCAGCTCTTTCATAAACATGCCATTCTATCGTGATATAAAGTTTGCCTAACAATTAATTTGGTTTCTAAAAGCCACATAACTATCAAAAATTTTCGAAAAAGTCAAACTTAAAATGGAAAAAAAATGGTTGCGAGCTGATTTAATTACAGGAAGTTTGCTCCGTAATTTCACTAGGCCAATTGATTAAAATGGAAGTTCGGCGAATTGAAGTTCAGCCAAATGAACAAAAAAATTCCTAACTTTCCAGAAAGCCTTACCTATTTTGCGAGCTTTGATTTACAAATCTGCTGAATTGTTTTCGTATTTCGACCTAAGTGGAAATATCCCTAGCTGTTGCGTGTTGTTATTTGTCCCTTCGCAACCTCAAATGTTCAAGCGTTTTGTTTTGTTAGCCCAACACACATAATTTCAGTTATTGTGCGGATCTGATTTGAAACTGCAGGCGGGACTCTTGAAACTCTTCAGATTGCGAACCACTAATTGAGGCTTGATTCATAAATTGACACTGAAAAGATACCAGTTCACTTTTCTTAACAAAGGTATCACGCTGCTCTCAAATCTGTTCACCCCAAGGGACTCTGCACCCAAAACCACGAAAGATCACATTTCGCGGACGGATGCTATTATACACGGACGGTTTAACTTCCATTCTAATTCAGTAATTTTGAACTCAAATTAACACAATTTAAATTCCAGTTATCAAATGTCTGATTTAAAGGTGAATCGATTTTGAATGATATTTACTTGAACAGTTGTAAAAAATAGCGCATTGAAGAAACTGTACAACCACGCACCCCCCTCCCCTAAACACTTTGATAAACCCCCCCCCCCCTCCCCTAAACACTCACTCATTTATCAATTTATAAAGTCTAATTTTTGGAAGCCAGTTTAAAAATTTTCTGAAGTAGCTTTATGCGCCAATGTTTAATGAAACAAAGAAGCAAAAAATTGTAAAGACTTCTCCATAAGAGAGTGCAAACATTTTTTTCTGCAATACTTTGCCACCGAAATATTGAAAAAATTGGATTTCATCTGATATCCTTAACAGTATACCCCTCTTCCTGGATCAGCTCCCTAAAATGATAAAGTTTTATCGAATTTGATATTTTGTGTAATTTGAGTTGCTCCTTATTAATTTCCTGAATCGCTATCTTTGATGAAGCGGTATATGCAACATCTCAGTTTCAAAGAAGGTGTTCTTTTTAATTTCAAAGTTGTATATTGCAAATTAAACCGCTAATTAAAAAAAAAAAAACAAAAACTGAAGATAAATCCTTAAACATTATTTTAATTTGATTCTTATTTTTATTCATTATTTTTATTCGCTCCAATGTATTCAAAATGTGCATGTGTCGGAGGATTTGTCAAACTTTTCAACATTTTTTGTCAACTTCTTTTAGAATCCACAATTTTTTTTTCAAAAATGCGATAAAACTGCCGCTTTGGTTCATTTTCCATAGAATATAAGTCCCACAAACACGGTCCCAAACAGTAGATATAGGAAATATTCAATAAAAATTGATTCGATTAAATAAAAGCTGAAAAAAGGAATTCAATAATATTCCCCCTCCACCACCAGCACAACTTAAAACTTTTAATGACACAAAATGAAAAAGCATGACACAAAACAAACTCTGGTACAAAAAAGATTGACCAGACTTACAACGTTGGACCGAACTTAACAAAAACAATCATTTTAGATTACGTCTTTGTTTAATGGTGTGAAAAATTCATTATTTCTGTCTCGTATGAAAAACAGCGACTGAACTTCGCTCTACTTTTTAATGGCGATTTTATATACCATTGATTTGTATTAACTGTTACACTGCGGCGAAGTTGATTAATCAATATTTTCATTTTTCTACTTATTCAAGAGCACTTTTAATTGTGCTCATTGAGCAAAAGTTATGCAAGCTGCAGTCCATTTTATGTAAATTTACGCATAGTGAGCTTCTTGTAAGCAAACTGGGCTGACAGATTTTGGGAAATCAAGGTAAGCATATTGTAGATATCAACACAGAAGCGGATCTAGGATTTTCTTGAAGGAGTGGGGCTGGATTTTTAAAAATGTTTTGAAATTTATCGACCTTTTTTGAGGTCGACCAAATTTCTGAGCGCTCCCAGAACACATAAAGACCCTATTTTGACAAAAAAATTTTGCACCGGAAGCAAAATTTTAGAAAAACAGGTAAAATGTCGTTTTCGGGCACTTTTTGGAAAATTTTGACCAAAAACTTGCGTTTATTTGCCGCGCGCTCCCCTTTGAAAATAGTATATATTATCGCCAAAGGCGCCTTTAGAAAAATTTTAAGCTCGTTCGGGGACCCTTTGGTTGGTGAAGGGGTTGAATTCCTGAAAAGGAAGGAAGAGGCGCCCATCCCCCCGCCCTCACCCCCTATAAATACGCCCCTGTATCAACATACAGTCGGGTCAATTAATTTTCTAACCGACCAACAAAGGTACATTAAAAGGAGCGGGGCTGAATTGGTTATCTCATCACAGAAAAAATTGCATAAAAATTTTAACCTGGTGCACAAAAGCGGTTCTCCTTAAAAAGCCGAACAGTTCGCAAGTTGGTCTTTTTTGCTCGCGGATAAATCATCTCAATTAATTTAGAGGATGATACAGCTCTTTTGGTTCAAATGAAATTATTTAGTAAATTTTGCTCGCAGAACTGCTCAATTTTGTCCATTTGAGCAGATAAATTCCCGATTTTTTCCAAAAAAATTAATTGCAATAAAAATGCAGCAAGTTTGCATAAGAAAATCATGGGAAAAATTTTCGATAATTACTTTTTGCGTTGATATCTACCAAAGAGCAGAGAAATAATTTCAAAATCATTATTTTTTGAATGCTTAAAATCATAGTATCTCACAGTTTTTTCTTCCGAATGTACAATAAATAAGCAGGGGGTATTTTGTTCCGACTTTCGATACGAAAGTAACGGAATATTTGTGCTCGGGGTGGGTTTTTTTTTCTTCAGACAAGTTTCGACTTTTTAACTAGCCATTTTTGACGGAATTTTTCTATATCATTCAAAAGCCATTGTTGTTTTGAGCTTAAATTTGAAAAGATATTTTACCTGTGATCATTTTTCGTAAAGTTATGAGGTTTTAAAGATCGCCATTTTGGCCATTTTGACCAATTTGGGACAATTAACGCGCAATATAATTCGCGCTATTAACGCGTAAGCGGATATTTAATCCGTCTTATAAATCGTTCCGAATTGGTTGAACGAAGCTTATTTCTCATAATTGATTTGTTACAAGGAACGAAATCCATCTTTTTCTACTTTATATGGCGTGTGGGGGGATGATTTTCATAAAAAAATTCAAATTAAAAAAAAAACCATTTTATGTTATTTCATTAAATTTTTTATGTCATTACTGCTGCTCCATAAACCTTAAAAGGCAGTCGGAACATTCAGGGCTTCGCCCTGATACGAGCAGTCTTGTTTTTATATGCAGACGAATTTTGAGTGGAAAACTGGCAGCTTGCTGTGGTTGATCCCGATATCGAAATCGATATATCGAGTCAATTAGCTATTGATGTTTAATAGGCGGCTGAAATATGAGAGCCGAAATAGCCTGCACTCAGAGTTGTTTAAAATTGAATTGAGGCAACTGATTGCTCATATCAGTTCGACTCAGTTTTCAAGACTATTTTAAAGAAATATGTGGCAATCAAAAATTATATATCATTATAATTTGACCTAAAAATAGTTTGAGACCAGCTAAGGGCAGTCGGCACATGCACGATTTGGCCCTGATACAAGCAGTACTGTTTTCTTTCGAGCTTGATCGGTTTTAATTTCCCATTGTCATTTTCTGTTCTTATGAAATACTGTCAATCGCTTCAGATGTGCGTTTCAGAACTACAAAACAAAATGCGTTTCTCCGTGCTGCCTGGAGTTTTTGGTAGACCTTATAGCATACAATTGCGTGATTCTTGAATGAAATTTCAAAATGTTTTCTGATAAAAACGCTTTTTTTCTCCAAAAATTTTCAAGTCAATTGAGCTGAAAGGTGGTAGCGGATAATAAAGCCAAAAAAAACTTAAATTAGTTAAAAATTCTTTTTTACTGTTTCAAGCAAATTTTTGATAGAATTGATTTACCCGTGACACAAAAAGGAAAGCCGGAAAATTCTATTCACATTGTTCACACTGAGCGAAGTTTTTATAGGATTGAATTTATCCATAAAATTGACAAATGAGAAAAAATCTGCAGCTTCAATGATATTTTTGTTTGACTGGCATGTTAATCAGAGCTGTATTTTGTATGTTGTCTTTGTATTGTGACATTTGATAAAAGTTTTTTTTCTTTTTTTTCTATTGCTAGAACCGAGATTGCTTAATTATCAAATGAATCACAATCAAGCTGACGGCTCTTATTTTTCTTCCTTTGTAACAATTGTAACTTTTGTAACAATCGGACAATATGAAAATTAAGTTTTTTGCAGGCGGAATGAAAGGAAAAACATCCAAGCTGACGATGAATCAAGCCGTTTTTAAAGGTCATTCTGTCAATTTTACTAAATTCAACTTCATAAAGCCAGGAAATATTTTCGGATATAGTTCAAATCGAGTTCCTAATTGTTCCGACTTTCGATAGGAAAGTAACGGAATATTTGTGCTCGGGGTGGGTTATTTGCTCCATAGACCTTAAAAGGCAGTCGGAATATTCAGGGCCTCACCCTGATACGAGCAGTCGTGTTACAGTTCCTAATAATTGCTAGCTGAAATTAATTATATCCCTGCGGCAGAATTGAAGCTGAAATTAATTATATCCCTGCGGCAGAATTGAAATCTAATCATCGATCTTTTTCTTAGCTCAAGGTTTTCTTAAGCTAATTAGACTAGTTCTGAACAAACTCAGATCAGAAAACGGAACGCATTTTGGGTATTGCTGATACCGCTTACTTCGAAAACGGTTTTGCATAAAATAGGTCTCTAACTCAAAACTAGACTTCGCATAGTTTGAAGGGGAAACCGCTCCGAAAAAAATTTTAACCGAAACCTTCCAAAAGTCCCCTTCCCCCTAAAACTTCAATTTGTGGCCTTGGATCCGCTTTTGTTCTATACTGTAAATTCAGAACTAAAAATTGATCTTACTAAGTTGCTAAACTGTTAAATAATCTTATGTTGCTGAATATTATACGTAAGGCTCATAATATACGTAAGCCTTTCAAAGATGATTTTCCAATTTGCTGACTGAAGTTGAATTCAGAATATATAACTTATTTCGGAATAAAAACCCAATTAACAGATCGATCAGCAGAAATCAAGTTGACCAAACACTTCTAATCATTAAGATGAAAATATGAGTTCGGGTCCTTCGTATTTAAATGGTTCACATTTAATTGTGGGTCATTGCGAAATTTTACAATGCATTTTGCAAATAAACTTTGAATGTTTGTTTGCGGCGTTATAATCTGCTGATCGAAACTTATGCTAATTGGGTCAACTTGAGGCTGCGGGTTGAACTATTTAACCCAAATCAAGTTACCGATCGATTTTTTTTTCAAGTTGAAAGGCAAATGAAGGTTACTGGACCGCCAAACAAGCAGCATTTACACGCCTAAAACCAGACCTGCAGTGAAAGTAATCAGCAAAACAAATTTGCCCAAATTTAGTTCCCGCCCGAACTACAAAAGAACTAAATGAATTCTTACCATTCTTGCCAAAGCAGAGTGAAATCGGTCCCGCATGAATTCAACTGAAAATGACTTATGACAGGCATTCTGTATTCTGGTTGCGCTTTCAAACCTTTCAGATTTAATTACTTTCAATTCATTACTGATTAAGGAATTAGAGCCAAAAATCGCTTCAAATAGACATAAATTATAATCCAAAGTAGTAGAGTCCAATTAGCTTCAAGTTCATTGCGATTAAGACTGGAAAAAACATGAGTTCCCATTTTTGGGCAAATTGTTTTTTCGTTAAAAAAGTTATAGTTTTTTTTTAATCAGTTTTCTAAAACTTTGTTTTCAAGAAGTTTCCATGATTAATCATTCAGCTTCAAGTGTCTTAGCTTATTGTAGCTCCTAAAAATGGACATTGGCTTTATAGTCTATGAAATAAAATGTCTGTGAACTTTAATTTAAAAAACGTAGCCAATCACTTTGGTTTATCCAACCAGAAAATTGAATTTGCCATTTATAGGGTAAAAAGGAATAGCCATAAAGACCCAATTTAATTTATTTCGGCTTGTTGAATTACATTATTGTTTGCACTCTGAACTATTTTAACTCCCGCCTATTCTGCCACAATTATTTATGAAAACAACTATCCCTAATTTCTCCTGAAATTAAACGCCCTCCTTCCATTTTATACCCCGTTGCATTTTGTTTTCTCTGTCTGCCATTGATTCAAACATCTGCCTGCTTTTTACAAAAATTGTTTAGTTACTGTGCTCGTGGGCGTAAAAAAGTTTTGTTGCAAATCGAACCTAAAAATTTTGTGTGAAAAATAAATAACTTGATCGTTGTATGCAGAATTCCCCTGAAAAACACCCACGGTACTTTTTTTAAATAAAATTTAATCTGACTAAGTTCAACGGTTAGTCAACCAATTTGCTAGTCTTTATCGGCGGAAAAAAAAACAGGTTAGCGCAAACTAACTTTCTTCTAATTAAATTAAGATTTTAGACTACTGCGCTTTAAGTCTACAGCCTCCTTACCAAATAGACCAAGTTAGGATCCTGCACCCTATTTATTTATTACTATTTACTACTACTAGATAGTTTTATAAACATAGAATTTACAAGTTTTTAACGATGAAACTTTTTTTACCGGATATGATCACAACTTTCAAGCAAAAATATACAGTTATACAATTTATACAATTCATACAATATTAAAATATATATAATTATTCCAATCCATCCAAATCATTTAAAATGGTTAACAAAAATGTTAGAAAGCACTTTTTATTTGATCATCAGAATTAAAGTTCAACCGTTTCAATTTTTTAAAGTTGCATCTAAACGTAAAA